CTTAGGGTTCTCAATACTATAATAATATCATCCACATACACCATTATTTGCGTTTGTTTATACACTATTGTGTTCCTTGTGTCTACATTACATTTCCTCAATATATATTCCAACACCAAATTAAATAGTGATTGTGCCAAACTATCTCCCTGTTTTAATCCTTGATCTGTCTTAAAGCATTCCGTTAATGGATTTGAATTTTAACTTGATGGATTGTTTCTGTCATGGTTACGTTAAATATTCGATTTAGTTTTGCTGAAATACCAAAAGTGAACATAATCACCCTTAATTTCTTCCTTATTATTGTATCATATGCTTGTTTAAAATCTATGAAGCATAGGTAAATATCTGTATTAAATTGGGAAGGTCCACGAAAACCAGGCAGGACATCACCTGCTAGCCTACGCTGATTATGTGATTCTGCTGGGTGATAACATAGATACATCACAGAGAAATAAAGAAGCTTTAACTGATGCTACTAAGGAGATTGATCTAGAAGTAAACACAGAGAAAATTAAGTATATGTTGCTGTCTTGTCACCAGAATGCAGGGAAAAATGACAAAATTAGGTAGCAGATGTTTTGAAAGTGTGGCACAGTTCACATATTTGGGAAGAACTGTAACAAATCAAAACCTGATTGTAGAGCAAGTAAAGAGGAGACAGAAATCGGGTAATGCTTGCTACCATTCAGTTCAAAACCTTTTGTCTTCTCATCTGCTGTCCAAAAGCATAAAATTTGGGATATACAAAATTATAATTTTGCTGTGGTTGTCTGTGTGAAACTTAGTCTCTGTCATAAGGGAGGAACAGAGGCTGAGGGTGTTGATAATATTTGGACTGAAGAGAGATGAAGTGACAGGAGGTTGGAGAGAACTGTATAATGGGGAGCTTCATAACTTGTCCTCTTCTCCAAGTATTATTAGAAAGATCAAGTCAAGGATGATGGAATGGGAAGGGTATGTAGCACGAATGGGGGAGAAGAGGAATGCTTATAGGATACTGGTGGGAAAGCCAGAAGTAATCCTTAGAAAAAACAGGTAGCAGGCCTGTAGGCTATTTGGGACGAATTACCTTAAGTTGGGAGCAATGTTATATGTACACCCATTGCTAGCAACGAGTTGCTAAACTAGTTACAGCGAAGGCAAGATTCTTGGTAAGCAGTTCATTGCTATATTATGCAACAATAGAGGGGCCCGTGTTTTCTGTAGATTCCGTTGACGCGCCAATAGACTGGTTGGATAGCGATCACGTGATATGTGTTTACTGTAGGTCCGTGTCCGTGCCGAAGTTTTATACGGGAGAGTGAGGTTCGTTTGCAGTCGGTCGTAGCTGAGTGAAGGAGCCAATGACACGAAGCCGTTATGGAAAGGATTTGTAAGGATTCAGCTGTGAAATATTAATAGACGTTGAAGACTTTTGCGTACTGTAGTACTGTGATATCTGGAGTGTGATAGTGCAAGTTCCTGTGTTTAACTGTGTTACCAGGAGAGTACTACTGTATGTGTGTTACAGCGAATTATAAAGTGTAATTAGCCAAAGCACTCTACTAATTGTAATTTAAGATAACTTGTAACTGAAGTGCCAAGGAATCCAGTCCACCTAGAACCCGTTACTTTCGTCACGCGTACCACCCTACACGTGACAATATATAGGTTAAAATCTGTCTTTCAACAATGCCATGACAGCAACGTTAAAACTAATTATCTACTCATAATCCGTTATTGCCGTCTCATCTCGATCAACGGCACACATCCACAGCACTTGATACAGCGTCATTTGCGTGAGAATCAATCTCACCAAGTGCTTGTTTCTATCAATTGTATTTACTTTGAGAGTTCCCGTATGAACTATTTACACATTAAATTTTCCTTTACTAAATTTAAATTAGTGCAAAACAAAGAGCTGCCAACATCTAACACGATTAAGCTTTTAACCCCTTGAGCGTGACTTTAAGCGGAGCCATTTAAATCCCAAAGCGTGCGAGACGCACCGGCTGCGTCCGCTCAAACCCGTGCTGTTAAGCGTGCGCGCCGCATTTGTTGCATCCAAACTTTTCACTAAGAATTCTTAACGCCTACGCTCTGATATATGTACTTCCAGTGAATGTATATATGAGCTAATAGTGACTTCTTTCATTCTTCGCTATCTGTTTGTGCGTGGTATTTTTTTTTACTTCCTTTGCTTGGGACAAAGCATCTGGTGTCTGCTGCTTGCATAAGAACTGTTCCCACTCACACTCGGACTTGCTTTCAGAGAGATAATTTGTTAGCTAACTTTCATTGAGTTCTTGTTATCTGTGTTTGTGTTACTGTATTTTTTACTGGCTTGGCTTACTGGCGACAAAACAGTTGTGTCTGATTTACGATGTTACGAACCTAGGGGTCGAAGTTGCCTGACGCCTGTGTCAACATTTATGAATAGCGGAGCTCAATGGCATCTCGGTCACGTAACTTATCTGGCGGCACAGTTTCTTGCCCCTAACGCAAATAAAATCACGCTTTCAAAAGTGGGTTCCCACAATTTCGAATGAAATTAAGGTATTCCTAGGTTTGTGTATGCTGATGGGAATTCAGAAACTAAACCTCAGAATGTATTTCAGTAGGAAACAAGGGAAAAAGTGTGGTATGAAAAATTATTCAACCACTTATTATCTGGTGTCTTATGTACGATGTTACAAACCTAGGGATCGAGGTTGCCAGGCGCCTATGTCAGCATTTGTTTCTTTTCTGCCTTGGGACCGTCCCTTAGCTGAGCTATTTAGTTCACCATGGCATCTTGCTCTCGTAACTTGTCTGACGAACAAGTGCTTGATCTTTTGGACGAAAACTGTTCAGTAGATTCGGATACAACCTCTGTGGGTTCATGTGGATATACTCTCGATTCCAGTTCCGAAGAGGAAGAGGAAGAACCTCAATTTTCTCTGAATATTCCAGATAATACTTGGGAAGAGGTCGACAGTGCTAATCCTCCTCTACCTTTTACGTGTGACTTAGTTGGGAAACAAATAGTGCCAGTTCAGTGTGCAGATGATCCTCTGGGATATTTTCAGTTATTTTTTGATGGTGATCTGATTACGATGATAGTGAATGAAACAAACCGTTATGCGGAATGCTTTCTTGCTAATCAGAAAGAAAAAATCCTGACCCAAAAGAAATCACGGTTTCAAAAGTGGGTTCCTACAACTTCGAATGAAATTAGGGTATTCCTAGGTTTGCTTATGCTGATGGGAATAATTCAGAAACGAAACCTCAGGATGTATTTTAGTAGGAAACATATGTTAGAAACACCATTTATTCCCAATGTAATGAGTGAAGAAAGGTTTTCATTGCTGACCAGATATCTACATTTTTTAGATAACAGCAATAAGGAAATTGCAAAAAAAGAGATCCTAAATTGTACAAAATTCTTCCGGTTAGTGAATATTTGAAAAATAAGTTCTAGAAAGTGTACATACCCAGCAAAGAAGTAAGTGTCGACGAATCTTTGTTGTTGTGGAAAGTGGACTTTCGTGGAAACAGTATATTCCTATGAAAGCTTCCCGGTTTGGGATTAAAATTTTTGAACTTTGTGATTCCGCAGGATATTTGTGGAATTTTATAATTTACAGTGGATCAGGGACAAAATTAGGCTGTGAAATCACCAAAGACAGAGATCTTTTCTCAACAAAAGTTGTTCTAAGTTTGTGCGAGAAACTATTAGACTCGGGCAGATGTGTTTATATGGACAATTTTTATAGCAGTCCCAATCTTTTCCAGAGATTAGTTCAGAGGACAACAGACGCTGTTGGAAAAGTGAAAATCACGCGCAAAGGTATGCCAATAGATCTAAAAAAAGAAACTGAAGAAAGGAGAAGTAGTTAGTGCAAAGTGTGGGAAATTGGTGGTGTTAAAGTGGAAGGATAAGCGCGATGTCTCAGTGCTTACTACTAAACATTCAGACGAAATGCAACCCGTAAGTCGAAAGGGCGGGTTAGAATTTGTAAATAAACCTATATGTGTAATAGAGTATAATAAGTATATGGGAGGTGTAGACTTGAAAGATCAGCTACTAGAAACATTCTTGCTAGAAAGGAAAAGGCAAAATGTGTGGTACAAGAAATTATTCAACCACTTACTAAATACGGCAGTGTTGAATGCTTACATTCTGTACTGCAAGGCTGGTAACAAGAAAGATCATCTGTTTTCACAATAAACTTAGTGAATAAGATCATAGCAAAGTCCCATGGACAGAATTTAGAAAAGCGCAAAGGGCGTCCTTCAGATACAGACATGGAATGTACGAGATTGATGGGTCAGCATTCCATTCAAGAAAATCCCAAAACCGAAACATATAAAGTTGGAAGAAGGAGGTGTGTGGTGTGTACGAAAAACGGAAAGAGAAAAAACTAGATACAGGTGTAAAAACTGCCCAGGGACACCGTCTCTCTGCCTAGACCCTTGTTTCGAGCAATACCACACCAAGGTCAACTGCTAGACACTGGATATGGAGAGCTGGGAAAAAGAAATAGCTTGAGAAAATGTAAGTACACAATTATAATAATGAACTGTAAACAATTGTAAATATAATTTTTTGGAATTTTTCAAATAACCATTTCAATATTTAAAAATATTTAGGTAAATGTCTGCACAAAACCTTCAATGCTTGCGAAAATAAAGCACCGGGAGGGATTTAAATGCCCCCTCATAAATGCACGCTAGATGCTTGTAACTGAGAGGACGCATATGGTGCGTCGCACACGCTTGAGGGGTTAAACACAGCCACATGAAATGTGAAGTCAGTCTGGTTTTAATGTGAGCAGACGTTTAGGTCTGTACTTAGCCATAAATAAATATTTCTAAACCATTCTGAAATCCACAGCTACATTAAAATAAGCTTACATTTAAAACGACGGCAACAACTGAAATAGGCTAATAATAACTGCATGAACTCCAGGATAGCATATATAGATTTAGTGCATTTAACTTGGACAACTTTGATAAAAGTATACAATGTGATGATTCTGGAATCGTACATACCGAATGGTTAGTCCATTTGTCCATTTTTTCCTGCAAACAGAAATAAATGTCTGTTAATATTTTTGAGTTACTGCAAGATTTACAAGATAACAGTAATTATATATAAATTGTTACGTGTTGTGTTATGGATGACGCCCCTCACTCTCCGCCAGCTGTGACGTGCCGAACGGAGCCGAAGTGTGGCGAGTCCCAGCACACTGGTCGCTAAGCAACGCGAGTAAACAGCGGTTGCTAGGCAAAGAGAGCAAACAGCGGTTGCGAGAGACGATGGTAATAACAGTGGTGCCTATTACATGGCTGTTTTCTGTGTTGTCCGGAAGGAGGCTAAATAAGGAGCAGCGAAGACTATTCACGAACAGTTCTCAAGTGCTCTAGCCAGCAGTTCTCGAGTTACGAGTTCATGAGTTAGTTCTCAAGTTCTAGAGTTATCTACTTACGAGTCAGTCACCAGTTAATTGAAGTACAGTATTTAAGATACTGCCAATGGCAGTAATGTTGAGCTTGTAATTTGTGTGATTGTAAGAGCGAATGTGAAATAAAACTCGCTATATCCAATAAGGCGTGAAGTTATTTGTCGCGTTATACACCCAACACATGACACTCGCTCATATAATCATAAAGGTTACAATCTCACAACTACTGCTATCTGCAGTATTGCAAATACCAGACTGCATACTCTTCCCTGGCCAACTCATAACTAACTACTGGCTAGATTCCACTCAACTCGTAGGCTGCTGACTGGAGAACAATCTTCGGCCGCTAATACACTTTTAACTAACTGCGAAAACTGAACTTGGCGACGGCCACATTTCAACTGGCTTCGTAGGCAGTGTGGTTCGCTTATATAGTCGCAGCGCTTGCCTGTTATGCAATGGGTACCACTATTGCCTAACGTCATGTCAACAACAGCGTTGCGTGCCACGTCAACATGAAGGGAGGACGGAGAGCTGACTCACCCGCCACGTCATGCTGGGTAGGGAGGGGTTGTCCTCCATTGCACATTATGTCGCAAAAATATATACATATACAGGGTGCCCCAGGAGGAATATGCCAGACTTCGGGAGGATGTTCCTTATGTTAAAGTATGCCGATATAACCCAAAACACCTATGTCCAAAGTGGAACGGTTAAGGAGATAATGGCCCCAGGAAAATGATGTCTTCTGGCAGGTTCACGCACTGTACCTGTCAGCTGGCAAGTCTTATCTGAGTTTGTCCTTGAGTGTGGTGATTCACACTAGCCGTAAACTTATGTGCTCCCCTCAGGATACGTTGCGGCCGCGTTGTGATTGGGTGGTAAGTTAATTGTGCGGGTTTGTTAAAATGCCTTTTGTGTTTTCGCACGTGGAATATTAAGATATGCATTTTGTGTGCGCATTTTGCGGTGGCAATGCACGTGTTGATGTTGAAGAATACCAAATGTGTTTTCCTGATCGAAAGATTCCAACTCGATGTGTATTTACGCGAATTCACCGAACACTGCGTGATACTGGTTCTCTTCCGAGTGTTTCTGTGCACTTTGAAAGGGAGGATGTACGAGTAAGAAACACACGAGAGAACATTCTTGAGATGGTTCAGAGAAGTCCAAGTCTGTCCACTCATAGAATGGCCTCTTGCATCGGCTTACAAAGTATGTAGGTGTGGCGAACTTTACATGACGAAGAGTTGTATCCTTACCATGAACAAATGATACAACATCTGGAACCAGGCGACCATGCACAGCGTATAGATTTGTGCCATCGGTTAAAAGCTCATCCCGAACTGTTAAGAGTCATTTTATTCAGTGATGAGGCGTCTTTTACCCGTGACGGGGTAAATAATTTACGAAATGTGCATACGTGGTTCCATAATAATCCACATGAGATAATGGTAACGAAATTCCTAGAAAATTTATGTACGTTTAATACAGATACATAGACAGCTTATACCAGTATGCGCAGTCAGCCATGTTACGTCAGCATTTGCCAGTCATGTGTCATGTAGTGTTTGGAACTATAAGGACAACTATGACATGGCGTGCGAATTTCGTTGTGGTTCAATTTAATGGCTTCATGTCACTTCCAAGTTAGTTTGGTGTTACGTACATTATTAACATTACAGAAACATGATCCTGCCAGTTTTAATATGTATTTGGTAATCAACAAATGTGTAATACCTGTTAAAGTCTCACACTTCTCTGGCCATAATCTCCATAACCGTTCAACTTTGGACATAGGTGTTTTGGGTTATATCGGCATACTTCAACATGAGGAACATCCTCCCTAAGTTTTGACAATTCCTCTTGGGAGACACTGTATATAATTTGGCCCATTGCCTAGAGACAGTGATTAATAAGTAAAGAATCAGTTGTCAAGGAACTTACCTCAGGGTAAAAGAAATAGAAGGATACAATTATGCCTGCCACAAAAGATGCCTCCCCCACCTGGAACACAAACCAGTACAAGAGATGTATAAGAATTAACTGTATTGGGAACTCATCCACTGATCAAGTGACAAAGTTTCTGAAAGATACCTTTCTAAATATATGGAAATTTATTATTTTCCAAATCCCTTCAAAGGAATTTGAACGAATCTCTCTCAGAAAACATTTCAATAAATCATTTAGCCAAATTGTTATTCATTTGTAGTGAGCTACTTAGAGACTAGCTAGAGGTTATGCATAAATTGCTTTTTTGAAACTTACGGTTAATGCTTCACTGACAATCCCACGAAAATCATCACTGATAACTGAAAAATAATAAATAAAACGACATGAGAATGCTACACTGATGCACATTCACACTCCAAATATCACAACTGTTGCAAAAATGCCAATTTCTTCTCTTTCAAAGATCCCAGGTAATTTCACAGCATGTCAACCCCGTGAAACACAATATTTCACTGCCTCTTTAGATCAGTGCAATCAAAATTAACTACACGTACTGGCTCCAGAATACACGAAAAATCGGATATTTCACAAAAGCTAGCAGAAATACTATGAAATATAGAGCAGGCGTAGGGCAAATGGTGGAATGGGTGAGCTACAAACCACCTGTGCTATGCCACGGTCTACTCTAACCCATATTTCATATCAAATTATGTATGTTAGCAACTGTGGATCCATTGTATTGACGCCTAGAATTACACTATTAACAGCGTGCTTCCATCTACTGATAGTCTCACTGGTGAAAGGGGATATCGAATCTGTGGGTTATGAATCACAAAACAATACGCACAACATGTTACACATTAAATGTAACTCGACTATCAGGACGGGATATTCGTCAGTCCAAAGGAAAGTCACGCATATCACATGGTTCCACAATCTGGTTGACCGCGGCGGAAGCCAGCTCATATAGGCCTATGAGCTTACTCCCAGTAAAGAACAAAATCTTCAAAAGAGCAGTACTGAAGAGATTATGCCAGGTAGTAGAAGAAACCAAACTACTCCCGGGCAGAAACACTCTACCATGGAACAAGTATACTCCGAATTGCACAGATAATAAGAGGAACTGTACTGCTATGCGGAGTTACCACACATCACACAAGCGTATGATAAAAGTATGGCACCCAGGCCTCTTGTTCACAATCAAAGAAACCTTCCCTATGCAGACTACTGAATATTGGAATCACATCTAAAGGGGCCCATACACGTACGAGTCTGGCTCGCGAGTCTGACTCGGATCGAGATCCAATGAGCCAGATTCGTCCGTGTGTCTCTGGCAAAGCTGGGAGTCGCTCATGCACTTCTGGTGAAATTAATCCGAGTCAAGCTCGCCGGGCCAGACTCGTATGTGTATCGTCCTCCTTAACGGATAGACCCTCTCAAGTAAAATTCAAAGACGAAACCAAAAACTTAAGGCAAACAAAACCAGATGTACCACAAGGAAGTGTCTCAGGACCTGTCCTATATCTTATCTACGCAAGGGACCTCCTCACATCAGACAACTGCTATCTTCTCAGATGTTACAGCAATCTTAGCCACACATGAAGTTCCAGCGATAGCCTCAATGAAACTAAAAGCCACCATGAATATACTAGATTAGGCGAAGAAATGGAGAATTAAAATAAATCGAAACAAATCTACGCAAATTTCATTCATCCTACGCACTCAAACCTGTCTGACAATGCAAATGGACCACGTTGAACGACCCCAGAAATAAGTGAAATATCTGGGCATGCATCTCTATAGAAGCCTGAGATGGGCAAAGCACATCAAAACCAAAAGAAAACAGCTCAACCATCGAAATCCTCCAGTACTTTCAATCCAAGTCCCTCCGAACCATCGGAACGCACCTTGGTACATATTCACAGGATCCATGAAGAACTCCAAATGAAAAAGTTCTCAGTGAAATAAAAAGTGGAATACCAAATTCTTAAGAAAATTAGAAAAGCACACAAATGCACTAGCAGTGAAAATCCTAGAAAATAGCGAAACTACACATACAACGAAAAGATACACCATCCAAACTCTACAAGAGAGACCTGAGTAAAACCCCAATACAAGCATTCAAATGATATCTAATTGAAAACAAAAACGAGTATGAGTTACGCCACTGGGCATAACTCATTCACGAGCCAGTACTTACAGAAGATATATATTTATAGCACTCTGCAGATTATGTATAATTAATGTTTGAAAAAGATGGGATCTTAGATCGGGAATAAAGTACATCACAGCTACTATATGTATGTTATTATATTACGTACTATACACGTAAACCTGCAAACAATCACAATATACTCACAATAGACGGACAACAACTTCGACGAATGCGAGATCTGTCCTCTCGACAGAGAGGCCGACCCATATCAAAAAACCGTTAACTGTCTGTAAGTAAAAAATACTTGGTCATGAACGCCAGAGTAGGGCAGAAAACAAAACGGATGGACTAACCGATCGTCGGTCGTGATGTGACTTGATTTTAATGCTACCCAGCAACGACCAGTGAAGACTATAACAAACGGCGCATATTTTGTGCATGCTGTATTTACTTGTAGTGTTTTTAAATTAACGAGACTCTTATAATCATTTGTAGTTATGAGTCATAACTGTTCAGTAAACCAAGTAATAAATCCAAACCCACTGTGTAGTCAATAACACGTGAAAATATATTACTTACAAGCCAGGCCCACAGCAACTAACACAGCTGTCGTCAAAAAAAACCGCCAAAAATTTGAGAACAGGAACTTTTTTCTGAAACAATGTATGGAAAAAAATAAATTTATCTTTTATTACACTAACAACAAAGAAATCTACAAACTAGCAACACTACGAAACAAAACAATTGTAGTAGAACCTCCAACAAAGGCCAAAGGGATCCCACATTGCATGCGACGCCGACAATATGGTCACACAAGATCATATTGTAACAAACTGTTATGTGTAAAATGTGGTGGGTCGTACAGCACACACAGCTGCAAAAAAATTAAAAACACGCTGCAAAATGTGTAGTCTGTAGAGGTGCACATCCGGCTAATTACAGAGGATTTGAATATTATCAGTTTATTGAAACCAAATAACACTAACAATAGACTAAACATTCAACACAACGCACTAACCAAAAGTCAACCAGCTCAGTTACAACTAGGAATCACATATTCAGAAGCCCTTCAAGGAAAAAGACACCAAGAACAAAACATCACATACTTAGGAGAAGCAAGGGAAAATACTAACAACAACCCAAATACAACTAATTTGTTAACAAAATTTCTTGAATAATTTAAACCAATCTTCCAACAACTCACCCAACACAACTGCATGATATTAAACGTGCTATCAACGTTAATATCTAAAATCCATTAAATTCCTTACAATTGCACTATGGATCGCCAACGGCCTTCTGTAGCAAAATAACTAGAGATATTCCTTCAACACGACTTCATAGACATTATGCTGATAAGTGAAACTCATTTCACTGATAGATCCTACTTCAATATACCAAAGTATTTAACATACTCCACTAATTATCCCGACACTACAGAACATGGAGGAACTGCTATATTAATAAAAAGAACTATTAACCCTAATGAGCTCCCCAAGTACAAATTAAATCACCTACCCGCCACAGTGATAAAAGTAAAGATGACCCAATACGAGTTAACTGTTGCTGCAGTTTACTGTCCACCAAAACATATCATCAAAACAGAGAACTTTAATGATTTCTTTCAAACGCTGTGACACAAATTTGTACCAGGCGGAAATTTTAATTGCAAGAACACCTTACGGGGACCTCGCCTAAGAACGACATAAAGCAACTATCTGGCTTTCCCAAAGCCATTCTGCATGAACACATGTTGTTTACATTATTATTCAGACCTCAATGTCCCGACTTCGGCCAATGAATTGCCAAGGTTTATTGTACATCAGCAAACTACACAGACAGTATTATAATGCAGTAACCATGCATAGTTAGCTGAAGGCGACCTTGTAGGCTACATAATATTTTACTCACTTTCAAGTCTGAGGGAATGTAATATATAAATCCTGTAAGCGGTAACGTAGTTGGTTGAGGCACTATGCTACAAACCAGAAGGTCGTGGGATCGAATCCCAATCAGTTGATTGGATTTTTTCAATTTACCTAATCTTTCCAGCCGCACTATTGCCCTGGGGTCGACTCAGCCTCTAACAAGAGTGAGTGCCCCGAATATTCCTGGGGGTAAAGAGCGGCCGGCTTGTAAGGCTGACAAACTTTCCGCCATCTATGAGCCTATTGTCTAGAAAATGTGGGAGCCTCAACATCTCTCAACCCCATAGGCTTCCACAGCCTGTTACAAGGCGCCTTTACCTATTTTTTTACCATACTATTATTCATTAGGATAATGCAGAAAAAAAGGAACATGAACTGAAATAATGTACATCTTGAGATGAGAATGTACTATACGTTCTACATTATAATACTTAAATATTCTACAAATGGTTCAACCAACACCTAGTCAATTACAGTGACTGAAATCGAAACATTATAGTATATAGTCGTTCGTTCGTTCGTTCGAGTGTTGTAATCAGTCGCAGCTAAGAAGGGAACACACATCACAAGACGCGGTTTACACAGAAAATAAGAAAAACGATCCCGTAGTGAACGAACCCCATACCAGTTTTAATTAAGACAAATAAGATGAATTATCTTAACAAGTTTTAGGGAGTGTAAATTTATCATAGTTGACAAATACGGACTTTTGAAATACTTTTTAAATGGTTTGTGAAAACATACGAGGGCAAGCAATGCAATAGATTGACTTAGTTGGGACACCTGATGATGGCACTCTGTTGCCAAAACATGTTGTGAGGTGACAGGTGAGATTGTGTGCACTACAGGACGGCCACTGTATACATATAATGGATGAAAATCAGTGCAACAGGACGCTAAAATATAAGATTACAACACTCGCAGCTAAGAAGGGAACACACATCACAAGACGCGGTTTACACAGAAAATAAGAAAAACGAACCCGTAGTGAACGAACCAAATACAAGTTTTAATTAAGACAAATAAGATGAATTATCTTAACAAGTTTTAGCGAGTGTAAGTTTATCATAGTTGACAAATACGGACTTTTTAAATACTTTTTAAATGGTCTGTGAAAACATACGAGGGCAAGCAATGCAATAGATTGACGTAGTTGGGACACCTGATGATGGCACTGTGTTGCTGAAAAATGTTGTGAAGAGACAGTTGAGATTGTGTGCACTACAGGACGGCCACTGTATACATATAATGGAAGTAAAGAATCAAGTGTCAAGGAACTTACCATGAAGTAATTCAAATACTGTAATGCAGGGAAGGATGCTATCACCATACACAATCGCTCCGGCTGGAAAACAAACCAATACAAGAGATGTATAAGAATTATTTCTATTGGGAACTCATCTACTGATCAAGTGACTAAGTTTCTGAAAGATACCTTTCTAAATATATGGAAATTATTTATTTTCAAAATCCCTTCGAGCAAATTTGAATGAATCTCTCAGAAAACATTTCAATACATCATTTAGCCAAAATTCTTATTGTTTCTAGTGAGCTACATAGAGACTAGCTAGAGGTTATTCATAAATTAACGCTTTCTGAAACTTACCATTAAACGTCCACGCACATGGATCAAGAAAAACATCTCCAAGACACCTGAAAAATAATAAATAAAACGACATGAGAATGCTACACAGATGCACATTTACACTCCAAATATCTCACTTGTTACATAATGCCAATTTCTGCTTCAAAAGAGCATGGCAACCCCGTAAAACCCACAGCGTTATTTCACTGCCTGTTTAGATCAGTGCAATCAAAATTAACTACACGTACTGGCTCCCGAATACACGAAAAATCCGATAATTATTCACAAAAGCTAGCGGAAATTCTCTAAAATATAGAGCAGGCGTGTCAAATGGTGGAATGAGAACTGGTAGGAGAAACTGGAGCACACAGAGAAAACCCTACCCAGTGCCACTTTGTCCGTCACAAATATTAAGAGGCATTTTCTGCGATGGAACCCGGTGAAAGAAGATGGGTGAACTACTAACCATCTAATCTATGCCATGGTCTACTCTAACCCATATTTAATAACAAATTATGTATGCCTGCAACTGTGGAACCATCGTATTCACGCCTAGTATTAACAGTGTGCTTTAATCTACTGATAGTCTCACCGGTGAAAGCGGATATCGTATCTGTGGGTTATGAATCACACGGCAATACGCGCAACATTAAATGTAACTCGACTATCAGGACGGGATATTCGCCAGTTCAAAGGAAAGTCACGCAGATCACATGGTTCCACAATCTGGTTGACCGTGGCGGAAGCCCGCTCACATAGACCTATGAGCTTACGCCCAGTAAAGAACAAATCTTCAAAAGAGCAGTACTCAAGAGATTATGCCAGGTAGTAGAAGAAACCAAACTACTCCCGGACAGAAACACTCTACCATGGAACAAGTATACTCCGAATTGCACAGATAATAAGAGGAACTGTACTGCTATGCGGCGTTACCAAACATCACACAAGCGTATGATAAAGTATGGCACCCAGGCCTCTTGTTCACAATCAGAGAAACCTTCCCTATGCAGACTACTGAATATTGGAATCACATCTAAAGTGGCCCATACACGTACGAGTCTGGCTCGTGAGTCCGACTCGGCTCGAGATCCAGTGAGCCAGATTCGTCCGTGTGTCTCTGGCAAAGTTGGGAGTCGCTCATGCACTTCTGGTGAAATTAATCCAAGTCAAGCTCGCCGGGTCAGACTCGTACGTGTATCGTCCCCCTTAACGGATAGACCCTCTCAAGTAAAATTCAGAGACGAAACCAAAAACTTAAGGCAAACAAAACCAGATGTACCACAAGGAAGTGTCTCAGGACCTGTCCTATATCTTATCTATGCAAGCGACCTCCTCACATCAGACAACAACTGCTATCTTCTCAGATGTTACAGCAATCTTAGCCACACATGAAGATCCAGCAATTGCCTCAATGAAACTCCAAGCCACCGTGAATAAACTTGATTAGGCGAAGAAATGGAGAATTAAAATAAATCGAAGCAAATCTACGCAAATTACATTCATCCTACGCAACAAAACCTGTCTGACAATGCAAATGGACCATGTTGAACCACCCCAAAAAGAAGAGAAATACCTGAGCATGCATCTCGATAGAAACCTGAGATGGGCAAAGCACATCAAAACCAAAAGAAAACAACTCAACCATTGAAATCCTCCAGTGCTTTCAATCCAAGACCCTCCGTCCCATCGGAATGCACCTTGGTACATAAACAACCACAGGATCCATGAAGAACTCCAAATGAAAATAGTGCTCAGTGAAATAAAAAGTGGAATACCGAATTCTTAAGAAAATTAGAAAACCACACAAATGCACTAGCAGAGAAAATGTCAGACAATAGCGAAGTACACAGACTGAAAAGACACACCATCCTAATTCTACAAGAGAGACCTGAGTAAAACCCCAATACAATCATTCAAATGATATCTAATTGAAAACAAAAACGAGTATGAGTTACGCCACTGGGCATAACTCATTCACGAGCCAGTACTTACAGAAGATATATATTTATAGCACTCTGCAGATTATGTATAATTAATGTTTGAAAAAGATGGGATCTTAGATCGGGAATAAAGTACATCACAGCTACTATATGTATGTTATTATATTACGTACTATACACGTAAACCTGCAAACAATCACAATATACTCACAATAGACGGACAACAACTTCGACGAATGTGAGATCTGTCCTCTCGACAGAGGCGCCGACCCATATCGAAAAAACCGTTAACTGTCTGTAAGTAACAAAGACTTGGTCACGAACCCCAGAGTAGGGCAGAAAACAAAGCGGACGGACTGACCGACCGTCGGTCGTGATGTGACTTGATTTTAATGTTACCTAGCAACGACCAGTGAAGACTATAACAAACGGCGCATATTTTGTGCATGCTGTATTTACTTGTAGTGTTTTTAAATTAACGAGACGGTTATAATCATTTGTAGTTATGAGTCACAACTGTTCAGTAAACCAAGTAATAAATCCAAACCCACTGTGTAGTCAATAACACGTGAAAATATATTACTTACAAGCCAGGCCCACAGCAGCTAACACAGCTGTCGTAAAAAAAACCGCCAAAAATTTGAGAACAGGAACTTTTTTCTGAAACAATGTATGGAAAAAAATAAATTTATCTTTTATTACACTAACAACAAAGAAATCTACAAACTAGCAACACTACGAAACAAAACAATTGTAGTAGAACCTCCAACAAAGGCCAAAGGGATCCCACATTGAATGCGACGCCGACAATATGGTCACACAAGATCATATTGTAACAAACCGTATGTATGTGTAAAATGTGGTGGGTCATACAGCACACACAGCTGCAAAAAAATTAAAAACACGCTGCAAAATGTGTAGTCTGTGGAGGTGCACATCCGGCTAATTACAGAGGATGTGAATATTATCAGTTTATTGAAACCAAACAACACTAACAATAGACTAAACATTCAACACAACGCACTAACCAAAAGTCAACCAGCTCAGTTACAACTAGGAATCACATATTCAGAAGCCCTTCAAGGAAAAAGACACCAAGAACAAAACATCACATACTTAGAAGCAAGGGAAATACTAACAACAACCCAAATACAATTAATTTGTTAACCAAATTTCTTGAAGAATTTAAAGTAATCTTCCAACAACACATCCAACAAAACAGCATGATATTAAACATGCTATCAACGTTAATATCTAAAATCCATTAAATTCCTTACAATTGCACTATGGATCGCCAACGGCCTTCTGTAGCAAAAAAATTAACTAGAGATATTCCTTCAACATGACTTCACAGACATCATGCTGATAAGTGAAACTCACTGATAGATCTTACTTCAATATACCAAAGTATTTAACATACTCCACTAATCATCCCGACACTACAGAACATGGAGGAACTGCTATATTAATAAAAAGAACTATTAACCATAATGAGCTCCCCAAGTACAATTTAAATCACCTACCCGCCAGTGATAAAAGTAAGATGACCCAATACGAGTTAACTGTTGCTGCAGTTTACTGTCCACCAAAACATATCATCAAAACAGAGAACTTTAATTATTTCTTTCAAACGCTGTGACACAAATTTGTAGCAGGCGGAGATTTTAATTGCAAGAACACCTTACGGGGACCTCGCCTAAGAACGACAAAAAGCAGAGAATTATCAAAAATATAGCAGCAAAAATATTCTCACTTGTCAACAAGCACGCCGATATACTGGCCAACAGATCCCAACAGAACCCCTGACCTCTTGGACTTCTTCCTTACTAATGGAATCTCTTCAGAGTACATGTGGTACGTGGTCTCGATCTCTCTTCAGATCACACACCAATTATACCCAGCGACAGTAGTCATGCTATTCAAAAACACCAAGAAATAAACTGCACAACAACAAAAAATACAGGATTAAACTACAAGAAGATATAAATCTAAATTTGAGACTCAAGGGGGGCAATGGAAATCGGCTGCGCACTAACCCCTTTAATCAACACTACAAAACAGGCAACCCAAGAAGCTACACCTATCATCATCTTCCAAAATAACACAAGGAATGTTCAAATTGAAATTAAAAACATATCTGAGAAAAGAACAACAAGAGCAAGGTGGCATAGAAGTCAAGCACCAATACATAAACAACATATAACCATATAAGTAATAGGATGAAGTGTAAAATTAAAGAGGCAAGAGAAAGATCCTCCTCCTCTAACCATACAATCAGCTTCAACAGATATGACAACATAATCTAGAAACCCAAGACACAGATACATCCTATAAGAAATGAAATGGCGCCGCAAACATTGTGGGCAAGAAGTGAAGAAGAAAAAGCACCTATGTTTGCTGAATATCTTGCTATAGATTTTACACCATATGATGACCATAATAATAAAGAAATACAAAGACAGATATCTGAAAATATCAGCATTATACCAGAAATAAAATTTTTTACAGTTAAAGAAGTGCAAAAGGTAATAGCTTTCCTAAATTCAAGAAAAGCATCTGGCATTGTCGAAGTGACCCCATATTGTTAAAAGAATGTCAAGGAAAGGGCTAATACTTCTCATATATATATTTAATGCTGTTCTCAAATATAAATACTGGCCAAATCAGCTAAAAACAGCAGAAATAATCCTTATCTCCAAACCAGGCAAAAATCTTAATAGTGTGTCATCCTATACTCCTATAAGTTTATTACCCATCATATCTAAGCTCCTCGAAAGACTTCTCATAAAAAGAACAGGGTCTGACCCAAATACAGAGGAGTGGATACAACATCAATTTGGTTTCAGAGAAAACCACTCCACTGTACAGCAGATACACAGAACAACACACAAAATACACAAAGCATTAGAAAATAAAGAATACTGCACATCGGTTCTCCTCGATGCAAGTCAAGCTTTGATATGGTATGGTATCCAGGACTACTGCACAAAATCAAAAAATATCTGCCCATCACTTATTTCCACTTACTAAAATCCTACATAAATGGCAGAGAGTTCAGAACGAGAATCAATGATAGTATATCTAACAATTTCGCAATAAAATCAGGTGTACCACAAGGCAGTGTCTTGGGCCCACTACTTTATTTACTGTATACAGCAGACCTACCAGTCATTGCCAACACAACAATGGGCACATTTGCGGATGATACCGTGATCCTCTGAGCCAACACAGATCCAGTTAGCTACCTTCACTTTGCAAAATCATCTAAATCAAATACAAGAGTGGACAAATACATGGAAAATAAAAATCAACGAAACCAAGTCACTGCAAGTAAACTTCGGTCTAAGAAGAGAACAATGTCCTGCAGTTTTCTTTAATAACATACAAATACCTGAATCATTCAGCACAAAATACTTAGGTATTCATCTAGCCCTTTGGCGCGGTCATTTAAATTCCGCGGCCGCGTCTCCGGCGGTAACATATTCAGCCGGCCATTTAAATTTTGCTCAAAAATGATTTATTCATCATTGTTCTTAAATTCTATGAGATAGGAACATGAAACTGTCACTAAAATGCTCTTAAAAGGTGGTTTTATAACCTTACCTTATAATATGAGCGCCCTGTATCTCGGCAATGGAGGCAGGTTGTTTAGTATTTGAGCAGTGAATGGTACGCCTTGAAGCATGAAACTTTCACTAAAATGATCTTAAAAGATGGTTTTTATAACCTTACCTTATAATATGAGCACCCGGTATCTCGTCAAAGGAAGCAGGTGGTTCAGAGCAGTGTAAGGAAGGCCTTGAAGCATTCGTGTAACCCAACGGTGCCCCATATTCATCGCTCCAATATTGTGTATCTTTTCTTTTGCTCTTTTTTTTAACCACACAGCTTCTGTGCAGTCTTGCCTTCTTCCCCATAAGGGGTATAGTTCAAGGAAATGTCTTTCCATGAGCAGTTTAGCTAATGAGGTCGGCTGCAGTAAATTCAACGTTACGAGTTATCATAACAAGGGTTTGTTGCTATGCCTTTGATATTCCATCCATTTTGCCGGCAGTAGATGTAGGGGTGAGCACAGAATTCATGAAGTTATTCTAAGAACTGGCTGGTATGTAGTGCACGAAAGCAGAGCTTAGCTGGCTCAAAAAAAATATTTATGGTCATCCCTCGAAACGACCACCAAGGTCAGTACGATAAAATGGCGTCAACTGGAGCGATAATACATGAAGGAATGAGTTCTTTTCCCACCCCACACACACCAGTATCGTCATAGGGGGTGACCATAGCGTTCTGCCTTAATTCATGGCGTTTTTCTAAGAACTGGGTGCTATGTACCGTGCGAAATCAATCGATGTTGCAAGAATAAATTTTTGGACATCCCTCTTCTAAGAATTACAATTGAGTGTTAGTGTGGCCAGCTCAGGGCAATATGATATTATAAACACAGCACATATAACGTCTCAGCTGTTTATAAGTTCATAGGAAAGAAACACGCCGTTCATGACAGCTTGGAGGAGGAAAGTTCTACCAGAAGCAACAGGGATTTGCTGCAAGACAGGCATATGTAACGATGACTTGGCACAGATAAAGTCGTGTCTTATTTATACTCTGTTCTACTGACAACAGGCCAGCGAAAAATCTAACAATCTACAGCAAAACCATCAATTATGGGCGTTATAACATAGGTGTGCAGCTGGACGAAACATACACGTCGAACCCCCCCAGACGATTTAAATAACCGACGAAACATACACGTCAAACCACGCTGAACGGCTAGACAACCATCTAACCTGGAAGAAACACATTACTAAAAAGCGCAAAGAGATTGATCTAAAAATCAAGGATATCCATTGGTCAATTGGAAGATATTACAGGCTCTCATTAGACAACAAAATCTTACTTTACAAAACAATAATAAAACCAATTCGGTTATATGGAGTGGAAATATGGGGATGTGCTAGCAAAACCAATATTTCCATAATCCAAAGATGTCAGTCAAAGATACTACGGATGACTACTAACTCCCCATGTTATGTTTCCAATATAACACTCCATGAAGAATTGAAAGTGCCGCTAGTAAAGGAAGTCATAATAGGGAAAAGCAGAAGATACCTCAGCTAAATAGAAGGACATGAGAACGTACTAATTCCACCGCTACTGGAACGACACTAATTCCACCGCTACTGGAACGACACAATGGACGGAGACTAAAAAGGAATTTTCCAGCCGACCTGAGAGAGGGTTAACGAGAACTTATCTCTGGATAAGCCCTCTCCAAGTCATGAGGAATACTACAGCTAATTAGCTTATAGAATGAATTGTAATTCTGATTGCTAGTATTATCTAAATAAAAAAATCTTTTATTACCAGGCAACAAATCGAGATTCTTCCGTCATTTCGCCTGCAATTATGTGGAATCGTGAGAAATTATTTTCCATTTTCATCTCACTCGCGAGGCCTTTGCAGAAATGGCCTTGATTGACTCCATATATGATTATCCGAGAACCGTTTAAGGATTTCATATATGATTATCCGAGAACCGTTTAAGGATTTCAATTTATCTATCATTTTCTCCGAAAAGCATGGTCAACACCGGACGAATAAGTAGGTTCATTTGGAGGCGTCATCAACAAATACAAATTACATTGACGAAGAATTTCAAAGCAGATTAAATTCGGAGAATATTTCTAGAATGGCGGCAGCACAAACTGCAAGCAGGGGACACCTATTTGTTTTGGGACTTGTATCGAGCACCAATTCTTGTTGTAAGGGGCGGGGGAGGTTACTGCCATCATGGATAAGGTCGCTGACGATGTTGCAGTGGGTTGGTGTATAGCTGTTCTCAAGGGTATATTTGACAAAGCAGTTGTGCCGCATCTTTAAGAGACTAGTGATTCTCCGGAGAACCAATTCGTGAGCCTGTGTTTCCTTCTCCTTTGTGGTCGTGAGATCCGCAGAGGGTGACGATACATTTTCTTGTAGCCCTATCCACCACATTGGGACAAGGTGTGAAGTGTAGACATTGCTTTTCAGGTGAACATACCATCAGCAATTATCCTACCCCAGCCCCATGGTCCACTGGTGATTTCGTGGTAAGTCCGCAACGTTCACCAGAGGTACCAATTTTAGCAAGGAAAAGGTGTCTTCTGTTCGAGCCTTGCAAAGTGGTTCAGTTCAGATTTCAGTGTGGAGCGTTAGCCAGAAGGCAACAACATGACCACGGAAGTTGAATAATCTCCATTGTTAAGATTCGTTACAAGGAAACGTCTACTGAAAACACTGTAGTGGAGTGGCCATTGTTGAGAACTGTTAGTGGCACTATGATATGAGTCGGAAGGCCGCGAGTTCGATTCCCGATTAGATTATTGGACTTATAAACTTACTTAAAAATTTCGGACGCACTATGGCAGTGGAGTCTCCTCAGCCCCCAACAGAAAATAATACCAGGAATCTACTTGAGAGGTAAAGGGAGGCCGGTTCGTAAGGGTGACGACCTCACCGCCATCAGTGAGTTGATTGTCTAGAAAATATAGGAGTCTCGACATCTCACAACCCTATGGGCCTCCACGGCCTGTTACAGAGATAGCTTTACCTTTCCTTTCACCTTACTAAGTGACGACTTTTGAAAGCAGACTGAGAAGACTTGGCGTGGAGATATTTGTTGTGCAGAAATCAGCAAGAGTGTTAGTTATTTTTAGTTACAGAATTCCTTACGAACCACCTTATCTGCATCCGTAAGGTGTTGAACGATGGATAATGTGTACACTTTTAAGTCTAAACGCTTTGTAACACTTGCCACACAGTAACATTTGGAATACCAGTTTCCCGAGACGCACATCGCATTGAATTTCGTGGACTTCGAACGAAGTTCTCCCCAATCTGTTCCACTGTAGCATCAGAAACATGTGGCCGACCGGGTGGCTTGGAATCGCATCTCTGTAACCGGTCACCTTTGGACATTGGTGTTTTGAGTTATATTGGCATACTTTAACATAACGAACACCTTCCCGAAGTCTGGCATATTCTTCCTGGGATACCCAGTATATAATTTGGCCCACTGCCTAGAGACAGTGAAGCTTAATAAGTAAATAATCAGTTGTCAAGGAACTTACATCAAGGAAAGAGGAACTCGCGGCGAAAATCATGGCTGACACGAAAAATGCTTGCCCCCCCTGGAACACAAACCAGTACAAGAGATGCATAAGAATTAATTCTATTCGGAACTCATCTACTGATCAAGTGACTAATTTCTGAAAGATATCTTTCTAAATATATGGAAATTTATTATTTTCCAAATCCCTTCGAGGAAATTTGAATGAATCTCTCTCTCAGAAAACATTTCAATACATCATTTAACCAAAATTGCTATTCCTTTGTAGTGAGCTACTTACAGACTATCTAGAGGTTATGCATAAACTACTGCTTTTCTGAAACTTACCTTCAATCCTCCCATTTGGAAATTCCACATTTTTTTACCTGAAAATTAATAAATAAAACGATATGAGAATGCTACACAGATGCACATTTACACTCCAAATATCTCACTTGTTACAGTAATGCAGTGATGTTACAGTTAAGAGCAGGGCAATCCCAGGTAATTTCACAGCATGGCAATCACATAAAACACAGCGTTATTTCACTCCCTGTTTAGATCAGTGCAATCAAAAATAACTACACGTACTGGCTCCTGAATATACAAAAAAATTTGATATTAATTCACAAAAGCCAGCGGAAATACTCTCAAATATAGAGCAGGCGTGGGGCGAATGGTGGAATGAGAACTGGTAGGAGAAACTGGAGCACAAAGAGAAAACCCTGCCCAGTGCCACTTTGTCCGTCACAAATATTAAGAGGCATTTTCTGGGATGGAACCCAGTGAAAGAAGATGGGTGAGCTACTAACCACCTGTGCTATTCCATGGTCTACTCTAACCCATATACAGGGTGTCCCAGGAGGAATGTGCCAAATTTTGGGAGGGTGTTCCTAATGTTAAAGTATGCCGATATAACCCAAAACACCTATGTCCAAAGTTGAACGGTTACGGAGATAATGGCCCGAGAAAAGTGTGGTCTTCTTGCAGGTCCACGCACTATACGTACCTGTCAGCTGAGACCCTTATCTGTTTGTCCTTGAGTGCCGCGAGTCACACTAGCGTAAGCTCATGCGCTGCCTACAGATTACGTTGCGGTGGGGTCGTGAATGGGTGGTAAATTAGTTGTGTGATGAGTTGCTGAAATGCCTTTTGTGTTTTCACACGTCGAGTATTGTGATATGCATTTTGTGTATGGATTTTGCGGTGGCAATGCACGTGCTGCTGTTGAAGAGTACCAAAGGCGTTTTCCCGATCGAAGGATTCCATCTCGAAGTGTATTTACGCGAATTCACCAGACATTGCGTGAGACTGGTTCTCTTCCGAGTGTTTCTGTGCAGTCGGAAAGGGAGGATGTACAAATGAGAAACACACGAGAGAACATTCTTCGCATGATTGATAGAAGTCCGCGTCTCTCCACTCGTAGAATGGCCTCTCGCATCGGCGTATCACGTATGCAGGTGTGGCGAACTTTACATGACGAAGACCTGTATCCTTACCATGATCAAAGGGTACAACATCTGGAACCAGGCGACCATGCTCAGCGTATGGATTTCTGCCACTGGATAAAAGCTCATCCCGAACTGTTAAGCGTCATTTTATTCAGTGATGAGGCGTCGTTTACCCGGGACGGTGTAAATAATTTACGAAATATTCATACGTGGTCCCATAATAATCCACATGAGATAATGGAAACGAAATTCCAAAAGAGATTTTCTGTGAATGTATGGTGTGGTGTGCTTGGGAACAGGTTGATCGGACCTTTTGTGTTTCACAACAATTTAACTGGAAACACGTATGGAGCCTTCCTAAGGAATGAGTTACCATGTTTGTTGGAAGACATCCCGTTAACGATAAGGAGGAAAATGTACTTCCAACATGATGGGGCTCCTCCACATTATACTCAGCACGTGAGACACTACTTAGATGAATCCTTCCCTAACCGCTGGATAGGTCGTGGTGGTCCCATTGCATGGCCACCGAGGTCGCCAGATCTTACGCCTCTAGATTATTACCTCTGGGGCCACATGAAGACCTTAGTCTACGAAACTAAGGTCGATTCCCGAGAAGCACTGCGGAATCGTATTTTTGCAGCGGCAGAGCACATACGTCACCATTCAGGCAACATTGCTTCTGCTACCCAATCCCTCATGATGCGTGCCGAAAACTGCATTGCAGCTGGCGGAGGACACTTTGAACAATTACTATAAAGCAGGTACTGTATTTTAATACTTATGTAGTTGGCTTATAGCAGAATATGCAGTCAGTCATGTTACACCAGCGCTTGCCATTCATGTGTCATGTGTAGTGATGAGGCGTCTTTTACCCTGGACGGTGTAAATAATTTACGAAATGTGCATACGTGGTCCCATAATAATCCACATGAGATAATGGAAACGAAATTCCAAAAGAGATTATCCGTGAATGTAGGTATAATAAGAGTTATGTGGTCGGCTCATAGCGCAGCCATATTACGTCATCGCACGCCAGTCATGTGTTATGTATACTGCTTGGAAACCTAAGGACAATTATGACATGGCGAGCGAGTATTTTGTACTTCAATTTTATGGCTTTCCGTCACTCACAAGTTGGTTTGATGTTACGTACATTATTAACATTACAGAATCCACATATTCCTGCCAGTTTTAATATCTATTTTGTAATCAACAAGTGTGTAACCCCGGTCAAAGTTTGACACTTCTCTGGCCATTATCTCCGTAACCGTTCAACTTTGGACATAGGTGTTTTGGGTTATATCGGCATACTTTAACATAAGGAACACCCTCCCGAAGTTTGGCACATTCCTCCTGGGACACCCTGTATATAATATCAAATTATGTATGCTACCAAAAGTGTGGAACCACTGTATTGAAGCCTAGAATTGCAGTATAAACAGTGTGCTTCCATCTACTGATAGTGTCGCTGGTGAAAGGGGATATCATTTCCGTGCGTTATGAATCACACGACAATACGGGTAACATGTTACACATTAAATATGACTAGACTATCAGGATGGGATATTCGCCACTTCAATGGAAAGTCACGCAAGTCACATGGTTCCGGAATCTCGTACACCACGGCAGACGACAGCTCATATAGACCTATGAGCCTACTCCCAGTAAAGAACAGAATCTTCGAAAGAGCAGTATTCAAGAGATTACGCCAGGTAGAAGAAAGCCAACACCTCTAAGACAGAAACACTATACCATAGAACAAGTAATTCCGAATTGCACAGATAATAAGAGGAACTGTACTGCTATGCAGAGTTCCCAGATATCACACAAGCGTACGATAAAGTATGGCACCCAGGCCTCTTGTTCAGTATCAGGGAAACCTTCCCTATACAGACTACTGAATATTGGAATCACATCTAAAGGGGCCCGTACACGTACTAGTCTGGCTCGCGAGCCCGTCTCGGCTCGAGTTCCAACGAGTCAGACTCGTCCGTGTGTCTGTCACAAAGTTGGGAGTCAGCTCATCCACTTATGGTGAAATTAATCAGAGTCAAGCTCGCCAAGCCAGACTCGTACGTTTATGGGTCCCTTAACGGATAGACCCTCTCAAGTAAAATTCAAAGACGAAACCAAAAACTTAAGGAAAACAAAAACAGACATACCACATGAAAGTGTCTCAGGACCTGTCCTATATCTTATCCATGCAAGCGACCTCTTTACATCAGACAACACAACTGCTACCTTCGCGGATGTTACAGCAATCTTAGACACACATGAAGGTCCAGCGATAGCCTCAATGAAACTCCAAGCCACCGTGAATAAACTTGATTTGGCGAAGAAATGGAGAATTAAAATAAATTGAAGCAAATCTACACAAATTACATTCATCCTATGCAACAAAACCCATCCGACAGTGCAAATGGACCATGTTGAACCACCCCAGAAAGAAGTGAAATATCTCGGCATGCATCTCGATAGAAACCTGAGATCGGCAAAGCATGTCAAAACCAAAAGAAAACAGCTCAACCATCGAAATCATCCAGTGCTTCAATCCAAGACCCTCCGACCCATCGGAACGCACCTTGCTACGTTAACAACCACAGGATCCATGAAGGTCTCCAAATGAAAACAGTGCTCAGTGAAATAAAAAAGTGGAATACCAAATTCTTAAGAAAATTAGAAAAGCACACAAATGCACTAGCAGCGAAAATGTTAAGACAATAGCGAAACTACACATAGACTCAGAAGACACACTGTCCTAACTCTACAAGAGAGACCTGAGTAAAACCCCAATACAAGCATTCAAATCATATCTAACTGAAAACAAAAAGAGTATGACTTACGCCACTGGGCATAACACATTCACGAGCCAGTACTTACTGAAGATATATATTTATAGCACTCTGAAGATTATGTATAATAAAGGTGTGAAAAAGATGGGATATCAGATCGGGAATAAAGGACTTCACAGCTACTATATATGTACATTATTATATTATGTACTATACATGTAAACCTGCAAACATATTATGTATTATACATGTAAACCTGCAAACAATCAGAATATACTGACAATAGACGGACAATGCCTTCGACAAATGTGCCATCTCGTCAAAGAGGACGACCCATATCGAAATAACCGTAACTGTCTGTTAAGTAACAAAGACTTAGTCATGAACTCCAGAGGGGGGTAAGAAACCAAAACGGACGGATTGACTGATCGTCGGTCGCGATGCGACTTGACTTTGATATTACCTCGCAATGACCAGTGAAGACTATAACAAACTGCTATGTTTTTGTGCCTGCCATATTTATTTGTAGTGTGTGTAAATTATAATCAATTGTAGTTACGAGTCATAACTGTTCAGTAAATCAAGTAATAAATCCAAACTCAGTGTCTAGTCACTAACACGTGACAATACTTTACTTACATGCCACAAACAGGGTGCCTGCCATAACTACCAACATAATCCACACCAGAAGTTCGGAAGAACTCATTTCTACCTGAAACAATGTATGGAAAAAAATAGATTTATCTTTTATCACACTAACAACAAAGAAATCTACAAACTAGCAAGACTACAAAACAAAACAATTGTAGAACCTCCATGAAAGGACAAAGGGATCGCACAGTGCATGTGACGCCGACAATATGGTCATACAAGATCATATTGTAACGAACTGTATATATGTGTAAAATGTGGTCGGTCGCACAGCACACAGAGCTGCAAAAAATCTAAAAACACGCCTGCAAAACGTGTAGTCTGTGGAGGTGCACATCCAGCTAATTACAGAGGATGTGAATATTGTTACAGTTTATTGAAACAACCAAATAACACTAACTAAGACAAAACATTCAACACAACGCACTAACCCAAAGTCAACCAGCTCAGTTACAACTGGTTGGTGGACGGACGGACGGATGCTCAGGTAGAAATTTGGGATTAGTATTACAGACAAGGGCCGCGGAGTTCTCAAGTACATTTTAATATTATCTTCTTGCATACACCTAAGTCTTCCAAGTGGTTTCTCCACCCATTCAGGTATTCCGACCAAAATTGTTAACGTTTTTCAGATAGCTTCCACGCGCTACATACGCAGCCAATCACCCTCTCCTTGATTTCGTCAACCTAGCAGTAGTTCAGAATAAGGATCAAGATGCCTCTCGTTACGTCACGAAATATCAGTGATAACCCATGCAGATGGAGATATTCTGTCTCGCCTAGACGTTAAAAAGTCCCAAGTTTCCCTTGCGATTATAGTTTTCGCCAACGAGAAATTACAAAACTTCTCCGAAAGTAATTACGGCCTGACGATGGCAGCATAAGGACGTTCCGAAACGTCGTACCACAGATTTGTCTAGAGCAGGGGTCTCCGTACTTTTCGAACCGCCAGCCACATTAGGTAATTCATCACTTTCAACGGGACGGATAAAATGAGAAATTAATAACTCTAGGTATATGAGTTCTATTGAAAGCACAAAATTTCAAAAACTAAATACAAAGTACGTGAGAATAAATTATCGTATATTAATGATGACAGTAGCAGCAAATGCTCATATTTTCATCACAAATTATAATAAAAAAATTAATGTGAATGATGGAACTCTTTTTGCATTCTTAAAATCTGATTAAAATGAGGTTCAAATTTTGAAATGCTAAACACAAGTAGCGACTTTAAATGTTCATCGTATAAATTTGCCCTGTATTTCGACTGATGTACTTCATCTGAGAAAAAGTTTGTTCACAAAAATACACGTCGTCCCGAAAATGAAGATAAATTTACAAGCACATTTCTTTAAATTTGGAAATTACTCAGAGTTCTGAAATTTATCAAATTCGATCAAATTTCCTTCCTTGTATTTGTCTTTAATATGATAATCTTCTCGAAGTTAAATGATTTTAATTTGAACTTGACATCTGCAGCATCACAGTCTAACGGATTTTGAAACAGTCTAATTTCCTGAGCACTGGAATCCAAATCATCAAATCGCTTCCGAAATTGTTCTTTCAAATTTAAATGACTAAATTTGCAAACAAGGAAGGAAATTCTGCTTCACCCTTTTTATGCAATTCTGCAAAGTATAGCATATGAACAAAGTTACAATTTTTCACTTGCCTTTCCAGAAGTATCAACTTTGCTCTGAATACCTTGATAAGTGCAAATACGAGTAAATCACAGGCTAAGTTATTTTCACCCTGCAACTTTAAATTCAAATGCTAATTTCCAAAGCCACTTGGTATCTGATAAAAGTGGTTCGTGACAGTTCTTCTTGGTAAGAAATATATCAATTTCATTCTTCAGCTGAAAGCGCGAAATAACCTTTCCACAGCTAAGCCATCGAACTGCAGTATATGTCAGGTCAATAAGTTCGACATTTACCAGTACTCATTCGAAAATTAGTTCAATTGGCGCATTTCTGCACAATTCTTTCGCGGGCCGGATAAAATCACATCGCGGGCCGCACGTGGCCCGCGGGCCGTAGTTTGGATACCACTGGTCTAGAGCAGTAGTTCCCAAACAGCAAAGCGTGACGGGGTTCTGGGATATATAACACTATAAAATTACCAATTTTTATGTCAAAATCTGTGGACAGTTATTTTTACAGCTTCTGTAAGAACCTGCCAGAATTGTTAGTCCAGGTATTAAAACAATTCGCGATTTAAACTTCGCTCTTTGTTGGCATTATTCGTCGCCTATACGGAGCACGTTGAACAATTTTATTTCTGAAAATCTAAATTGTTTTTCGAAGAGTTTGCACACGGTACCGATTGCGGGTCATTTGCCCGTAAACAAAAACACGCTTGCTAGTGCGGGGGGGGGGAGGCATGAGGCTTTAGTGAGAACCAAAACGAAACGTTATGTTAAAAGCTTTGGAAACCACTGGTCTTGAGTTACTGCTCTATATGTATTCGCAGATACCGAGTTCCAATATCGGCCCAGACACCGGCTATCTTCTGCTAAACCTCAAAATCGTAACCCAAATTTCTGTACTCTGCAGTCGGTAAACCAAATTATCATGCAATAACAGCGAACTAAATTCACACTCTAACCATCATTCGCTAACCAGAATTTATATCTTAATAAACCAAATTGTTATACCCTCACAATAACTCAGTTACTGAAGAAAGCAGTCTTTTGGGATTTGGCACCGTGTATAAGCGGTGTTAACCGACGTTTCGGAGGAACGTATCGCCTCCATCTTCAGGGTAGAAGAAAATATAAGAATTCTGCAAGCGAAGAGACCGTGAGAACCGGTAAAAGCAGACTGTTCGGGAATATACATGCTATGTGAGAGCAGCGAGGGGGAAGGGGGAAGGGCAAGTATACAAGTGAAAGCAGTAGTGTGGGAGGGGTAGGGGAAAGGGAACTGGGACAAGCGCAGTATATATATGTGTGTGTGTCTGTGTGTGTGTATATACAGGGTGTCCCAGGAGGAATGGACCAAACATCGGGAGGGTGTTCCTTATGTTAAAGTATGCCGATATAACCCAAAACACCTATGTTCAAAGTTGAACGGTTACGGAGATAATGGCCAGAGAAGTGTCAAACTTTGACCGGGGTTACACACTTGTTGATTACAAAATAGATATTAAAACTGGCAGGAATATGTGGATTCTGTAATGTTAATAATGTACGTAACATCAAACCAACTTGTGATTGACATGAAGCCATAAAATTGAAGTACAAAATACTCGCTCGCCATGTCATAATTGTCCTTAGGGTTTCCAACCACTATACATGACACATGAATGGCAAGCGCTGACGTAACGTGCAGACTGCGCGTTCCGGTATAAGCCAACTACATAAGCACGGCTAGGGTGAATCATCGCACTCAAGGACAAACACAGATAAGGCCTCTCAGCTGACAGGTACAGTGCGTGGACCCACCAGAAGACCACACTTTTCTCGGGCCATTATCTC